CAGAGCAAGCCCACCCTGGCAGACCCCACAGGAAGAGACAGAGCAAGCCCACCCTGGCAGACCCCACAGGAAGAGACAGAGCAAGCCCACCCTGGCAGGCCCTACAGGAAGAGACAGAGCAAGCCCACCCTGGCAGGCCCTACAGGAAGAGACAGAGCAAGCCCACCCTGGCAGACCCTACAGGAAGAGACAGAGCAAGCCCACCCTGGCAGACCCTACAGGAAGAGACAGAGCAAGCCCACCCACCCTGGCAGGCCCGACAGAGCCTGCAGGTTCCCTGCCAGGCACCACCTGCCCACACCCTGAGGGCCCGCGGAGAGCCTTCGAGTTGAGTGACCTGCACGTTAGCGAGGCGCCACACTCTCCACCTGGCCTTCTGGAAACCCCAGGACCTCAGCGGACTGCCAGTACTCGGTGTCGTCCTTTACTGCCGAGCCAGGCTCAGGGCTGGTCTATCCTGCAGGGCCCACGGCCTCAGGCCTCTGGAACGGCCCTCCCGGGCTCATGGGCAGCTGCCCCCGCTGGCTGGGTGCCTTCCTGGTTTTGCTTTGTGATCCATGTCCTTGGGTCTACCGACCTTTTCTGTACGACCTCTGGCACCACGGGGGCACGGCCTCGCGCAGTCCACCTCCCTGCTGGCCCCTCTGCCTGAACGGCGAGGTGAGGCCAAGGTGAAGGACAGGTGGAAGCCTCCTGGCTCCGGAGACAGACTGAGTCGCAGCTCACGGTGGAGGGGTTCGTCCTCGGTCCCCAGCCTCCACACAAGCCCAGAAAATGCCTTTTCCCTGGAGAAGCCAGGGTCTGGCTGGCCCTTTCAGGTGGGAGCAGGGGGTGCAGGCCAAGACACCCAGGGAGCTGAGGGTCTGGAAAGCGACCAGGGCTTTGCATCCTGGATGCGTGGGGCTTGCTGTCGCCGGCCTGGACTTCCTCTGGAGGGGAAGAGTGCCTGCCTGTCAGCAAAGACGGCTGATGGAGGCCAGCAGGGAGGCCAGCAGTGGAGGTGGTGCCCACAAGCACTGGCGCATCCCCCTGGGGCCTGCCCAGCTGCTCAGCAGCACCTCCAGGGGGCGGATGAAGAGCACCCACCCGGTCAGTGACGACCAACAGAACAGCGAGGGCTGGGCTGGAGGTGGCGTCCAGGTCCTGCCTCCTGCCCTGTCCCACTCTGCCGGAGCAGAGTCCCTGCGGTCCAGGTCCAGGGAGGGGGCCTGGCTCCAAGCACAGCTCAGGAATATGGGTGCAGGACTCACTTCCCTGCCTCCCTGCCACCAGATGCCCTGGGGACCCACACACTGGAGTCACAGCGACTCAGCCACCCAACTGCCCCGTGAGAAGCCACTGGTGACGGTGACACAGCACTCCCAGCCCAGGAGACCAGCTGGGCTGGCTGTAGAGGAAGACGCTCCCCTGCACTGTCCTCGGCCTGGCCAGCACCCTGCCCCAACTCTTCCCCTCAAGCCTGGAAACCCTGGCACCCGTCTGGGGCACCCAGGGGAAGGAGGGAACCCCCACTGGGCACGAGCAGCTGCCCTGGGAGCCCAGTGTCCTCTGCCTGCTGGGTCCTCAGTCCTCCTTCCCTCCCGCAGGGTCAGCACCCGCCTGTGGCCTTCGGTGGCCTCTGATGGCCATTCAGGCCCATTCCCCTTCAGAAGCGACACCCCCAGTCGGTGAAGCACCAAGATCTTCCCAATGATGGGGCACAGACGTGGCCTCCCAGGGGCAGGAGGGAAGCTGGGCTGGTGACGGGGACATGAGACCAGGGCTGGGGACCAGATGGGCCCTGGTGCCTGCAGAGCTTGACGCCACAGAGCCCCGCAGGTTCCCGACTTGCACGGGACCCCTGAAGATGTGTCCAGTCCCACCCAGAACCCCAGCGCTCTCTGGAAGGAAGGCCTTTGCAGATATCCAGTTAAGGACCTCAAGATCACCCTGGGTCATCCAGCAACCGTGTCCTTACAGGAGACGCAGAACAGGGACAGAGAGAAGCCACGGGACCTCCGGCACCCAGGCTCGAGTAACGTGGCCACAGCCCAGGGGGCTGGAAGAACAGGAGGGCCTCCCCTGGAGCCTCGGAGGGAGCACGGCCTGCCTCATGGAGCATAGCAGGCCTCGTGGAGCACAGCAGGCCTCATGGAGCACGGCCTGCCGCATGGAGCACAGCAGGCCACATGGAGCACGGCCTGCCGCATGGAGCACGGCC